CTCTTTTATTATTTAACTAAGGTGTTTTCTGTCCAATTGAGGAGTGGGGTAGCTATATCCATCTGTAGTGCTGCCATGGCCTATATTCGGGAAACAAAAATATCGGTGAGTATGGTGTAAATTTTATGTTTTAGAACTCCAAAAAAAATTAAGCCATTTATCCTGATTTGCAGAATTATCAAACAAAAAGGTATTGACTGCAATATTATTTTAACCATTTCTGCCAGTGATGGTGAGATGGAAGTGAGGAGTTTCGCTGTACAGCTTCAATTTACCAAAACAGCTGTGGAAATTGCAGTAGTTCTGCGTTGGCAAACAATGCCTCTGCCATAAATGCTAAGATCCAGCTTGGATCGAAAGTTAAAAACCTCTAACAGAACAAATATTTTTTTCCATTTAAGAGTGTGACTTTTATACTTGTTTTGTTATTAAAGTCCTCATTGTAATGGAAATATTTACCCAGATAGGGAATTTATCATCACTTAGTAAGTACAATCCAGATTGTGGTTTCACAAAATGTAATTGTCTCAATTTTCGTCACCAGTGCCACATGAAAAAACACATTGCCTTTCTTTTTATTTTCTATGCAATAAATCTATTAACATCAGCATCTTTTATGCAATCTCTTGCAAGTCCATTTCCCTTTCAAAAATCTAAACACCCACGTGAAGTAATACTACCTTTAGTGACAGGAAAACAGTTTCTAAAATAGAAGATGCAACTACACTTGTCACACACACACAGCCAGATACATATATATCTGTGTGTTATAAATTGTCAACCAGAAGCATGTTTTTTGCCATCACTCTAGATATATATATATATTGGCTAATCCAATCTCTCTCTTTCTCTCTCTCTGGTTATATATAGTTTACATTGGATTAGCCGTATTGTGGTAGAAGCTACAGTATTAGTCCAGTAGACAAGATGCCAAAATAACAGAGTATTGCAGTATTTAATACCTTTTTTATTGGACTAACATACTATTTCAAAGACAAACTTTCGTGAGTTTTTTCCTCTCTTCCTTAGGTCTAAAGCAATATCGGTATTTTGGCATTATATATAGATTGCTCAATAAAATAAAGGGAACACTTAAACAACCCAATGTAACTCCAAGTCAATCACACTTCTGTGAAATCAAACTGTCCACTTAGGAAGCAACACTGAGTGACAATCAATTTCACATGCTGTTGTGCAAATGGGATAGACAACAGATGGAAATTAAAGGCAATTAGCAAGACACCCCCAATAAAAGAGTGGTTCTGCAGGTGGTGACCACAGTCCACTTCTCAGTTCCTATGCTTCCTGGCTGATGTTTTGGTCACTTTTGAATGCTGGCGGTGCTTTCACTCTAGTGGTAGCATGAGACGGAGTCTACAACCCACACAAGTGGATCATGTAGTGCAGCTCATCCAGGATGGCACATCAATGCGAGCTGTGGCAAGAAGGTTTGCTGTGTCTGTCAATGTAGTGTCCAGAGCATGGAGGAACTACCAGGAGACAGGCCAGTACATCAGGAGACGTGGAGGAGTCCATAGGAGGGCAACAACCCAGCAGCAGAACCGCTACCTCTGCCTTTGTGCAAGGAGGAACAGGAGGAGCACTGCCAGAGCCCTGCAAAATGACCTCCAGCAGGCCACAAATGTGCATGTGTCTGCTCAAATGGTCAAAAACAGATTTCATGAGGGCCCAACGTCCACAGGTGGGGGTTGTGCTTGCAGCCCAACACCGTGCAGGATGTTTGGCATTTGCCAGAGAACACCAAGATTGGCAAATTCGCCACTGGCGGCCTGTGCTCTTCACAGATGAAAGCAGGTTCACACTGAGCACATGTGACAGACATGACAGAGTCTGGAGACTCTGTGGAGAACGTTCTGCTGCCTGCAACATCCTCCAGCATGACCGGTTTGGCAGTGGGTCAGTAATGGTGTGGGGTGTCATTTCTTTGGGGGGGCCACACAGCCCTCCATGTGCTCGCCAGAGGTAGCCTGACTGCCATTAGGTACTGAGATGAGATCCTCTGACCCCTTGTGAGACCATATGCTGGTGAGATTGGCCCTGGGTTCCTCCTAATGCAAGACAATGCTAGACCTCATGTGGCTGGAGTGTGTTAGCAGTTCCTGCAAGACGAAGGCATTGATGCTATGGACTGGCCCGCCCGTTCCCCAGACCTGAATGCAATTGAGCACATCTGGGACATCATGTCTCGCTCCATCCACCAACATCACGTTGCACCACAGACTGTCCAGGAGTTGGTAGATGCTTTAGTCCAGGTCTGGGAGGAGATTCCTCAGGAGACCATCTTCCACCTCATCATGAGCATGCACAGGCGTTGTAGGGAGGTCATACAGGCACGTGCAGGCCACACACACTTCTGAGCCTTATTTTAACTTGTTTTAAGGACATTACATCAAAGTTGGATCAGCCTGTAGTGAGTTGAAACATTTTATTTCCATTTTTTAATTTTTGTGTGATTTTGTTGTCAGTACATTCAACTATGTAAAGAACAAAGTATTTCAGAAGAATATTTAATTCATTCAGATCTAGGATGTGTTATTTTTGTGTTCCCTTTATTTTTTTGAGCAGTGTATATGTATATATAATATATTTAAATATATATACTCATCAATGAAGGAGTTAAATCAGGATGCTGATTAAAGTCCAGAGTAGTGACTGAAACATTGATGTATTTATTATCATTATCATTTTAAATAAAATATATTATTTACAAGACTCTATTTCCTTTAGGTTTCATTGATGGTTGAACCATTTTGGGCCTGATAGGTCTAACTCAAGTTTAATGGGTGACTAATGCACCATAACCACTTTAGTTTAATTAAAGAAAAATTAAACACATACTTAGTCAATGTATAGAATTTAAGCTAGATATAGAGCTGAAATCCCTAAACTTCTACTGGGGGATGAGATCTGTTTTTTTGTTTTTTTTGCATATCTGATATCCAATCCCATTTGATATGAGCGAAGAATCCTCTGGATCAGCAGCTACAAATGGGATATGTGAGTGGTGTAACTTGATACACTTGAAACTTTTTTCTGCCTAATTTTAAATGTTTTGCTTGTAGCATAGGGACACCAGCCAATCATAGTTTCCAGGTATCATGTTATTAGTTGTGACAAACGCTCTTTACCCTGGACGTTTGCCATGAGCTCCTGGCCTGGCATGGGAGGTGTGGATGGAACCGTGTTCCACACACTTAGATCACAGGGATGAGAGGCCGTCGTGGGTTCCCGGTCACCTCAGTGGGACTTAGCCACAAATGTTATGGAACTGTTTTCGTCAGGAGATGACCGTGCGGTTCCTGGACATCTTGGTTAGCGGTTTTAAACCACTTTGAAATCCGCCAGGAGGTGCCGGAGACTAGAACAAACTCTACCTAGGAGCCAGCTGGAGCACCATATATTGCGGCCGCAGGAGCTCCCAAACGTTGACCAGCAAAAGCACCAAACGCCCTAGAACTGTTTTGGGCAAAACTTCCACACGGTGGCGTTTCCCCTACACTGCATGGATCTGAGCGCTATTTGGAGAACTTGGGCACTCCTATTTGTTTTGAATGTATGTTTTATGTATTTTGATATTTTATGTTTTTATGCCGAGTCACTATGACACAGGAATCTGTGGACATTTTGTGGGAGTGTTCTGGGTGTGTTTTATTGCATCCTTGTTGTGTATTTAAGTGGGCCATTTGGCCATGATTAAACTCATTTTTTCTACCCTTAATCAAGTCTATGCTCATGTTTGGGGAATTGGGAGCTATAATCACTGCTATACTGGGGATTTGGGAGAACTACAGCCGATATACTCAGCCGGAGTATAGGGGATCCGTTACATTAGTGTTGATCATAGATCACATGTTGCCCAATTTGTTTCAAATTAACTATAATTTCTACATTACACAATCCAGTCTAAAGGCAGTCACTTCCATAAATATAAAAGACCAGACAGATACAGATATGCATGTAAATGCACAAATTGTTACTGATTCATTGGCTACCAAAACAAAAGTATGTTATGAATCTTATATCTTATACTAAATTTCACAATTTTCATTGCTGATGCATTGTCATCAGACTTCCTGTCACTCAAGCCTTCCTTCATATGGTATACCAGCAAAATAATTTGTGTACATAGAAAAAGTCTTAGATCTTTGAGTTCAGCTCATGAAAAATGGGGGCAAATACAAAAGTGTTCCGTTTATAATTTTGTTCAGTGTATTTTAGATTAAATTCACCAGCATGGGACTTAAAGTTCTGCAACAGCTCTGGATCTACCTTGAGTTCTATGACACAGTAAATATGAAATGAAAGGAAAATATATACAATTATGTAAAAGTTCAAATTGCACACTATAGAATTTGCTCACTCAATGTTAAAGGACCACTATAGGCACCCAGACCACTTTAGCTTAATGAAGTGATCTGGGTTCCAGGTCCATTTAGGATTAACCCTGCAGCTGAAAACATAGCAGTTTCAGAGAAACTGCTATGTTTTAATCCAGTCTCATTGACAGCCACTAGAGGCGCTTCCATGCTTCTCACTGTGATTTTCACAGTGAGAAGATGCCAGCGGCCATAGGAAAGCATTGAGAATGCTTTCCTATGGACTGGCTGAATGCGCACGCGGCTCTTGCCGCGCATACGCATTCAACCAATGACGAGGAAAGGAGGCGGAGAGTCCCCACCGGCGAGGGAGCCCGGTGATGGAGAAAAGGTATGTGTTTAACCCCTTCCTCACCCTAGTGCCAGGAAAGCGAGTATGTTTTCCTGGCACTATAGTGGTCCTTTAAGTTGTAATGTGCTAGTCACCTACTTGCAAATCTAACAGAGTTAGAAAAAAAAGTCTAACATTATTTCCAATTTGTCTCCATTGTTCTAAATATTCCAAGTCAGTTTTTTTGTTTGTTTTGTTTGTTCAAAAAACAAAAATAACAACCACCCTATTTTTATTTTATTTTCAAATAATTTTTATTGAAAACATTTTGCAGAATTTACAAATAATAAAGAACAATATATTAGGGAAGGGAAAGGAAGGGTGACAACTGGGAGATGGGGGGGGGGGGAAGCCATCCATCCATTATAACAGTAAATATGTTAAAGTACAAGGCACTTGAGTTGAATAACACAACATTACAAGTTATTACAGGTTATGTGTTTTTTTGACATCGGTTTCCCATTGATACCAGTGGTATTTTAATTGTGCAAAAATGTGTGTGTTATTTCTATGTGATAGTTCGTATGCTTTGTTTTCTAATGTTAGTGTCAGTACTTCCTTGATAGAGAGTGTATGTTTAGACTTCCAATATCTAGGTAGACGTGGTGGCAGCTATCAGTATGTGGCCTGCTATAATCCTATCGATTCTACTGATGGATTCAGGGAATTTTTTAAAGAGAGCTAGATCAGATGTGAAATTGTCTATATTCCTGTTCACTTTAACAATTAAGTTGTGTATCGATTTCTAGTATTAAGTTAGTCTTGGGCAATACCACCATATGTGGGCCATATTGCCCAATCCTCCGCATATTTTTATTTTCTATATGGCATTTCAACCAAATGTAGATTTTTGTTGTATGTCATCTAAATATTTCCAAGAATCAAGTTTCCACAACTTTCCCAGTATTCCCAATTCAGCATGCAAATGAGCACAGAAAAGTATCATGATATATACATTTTAATTTACCTACGTTTTTATTGTTTTTCTCTCACCATAACTTATTTATACTTAGGCCAGGGCAAGTGCATCCATAAGGCGGCACAGGTGGCCGGCTTAGGACATACCGGCTCTGGGGGCGCAAGTTACAAGTGACCGGGAAGGAGGGAAGCGCACAGCACTCCCTCCTGCCAGTCACTCAGTGTAGCGTGGCCAGGAGCTTCTGATTCCTGTTCCCTGCCGGACTGACTGGAAGAGCTCACCGAGAGAACACTTAATTTTAGTCCGGGTACAGAAAACAGAAGCTCCTGTACCGCGGTCCGCTTCCACTCGGCAACACTACAAAAGTGGTAATGTGGAACACCAGGGAAGGGAGGGGGAGGAACACTAAGGGGGTGGGTAGTAAAGGACCACAAAGTCACAGGGAGGGGAGAGGAACACTAAAAGAGGGGTAGGGGTTGATTAAGGGACGGGGGGGACAACTAAGGGACAGGGTAGGGAGAGGAGAGCTGCACTAAGGGACAGAGAAGGGAGGGAAGAGGAACAGCAAGTAACAGGGAGGGGAGAGGACCACTAAGGGACAGGGAAAGGAGGGGAGAGGAACACCAAAGGGGGGGGGCACTAAGCAACAGAGGGAGAAGGGGAGAGAAACACTAAGCAACAGGGAGGGGAGAGGACCACGAAGGGACAGAGAAGGGATGGAGGGGTACACCAAGGAACAGGGAAAAGAGGGGAGAGGACCACTAAGGGACAGGGAAGGGAGGGAGAGGAAACAACTAAGGGGAGACAACTAAGGGACGGGGGGAGGGAGAGACTAATAAGGTGCCGGATGGTGGGGGAGAGGAGACCACTAAGGGACAGAGATGGGAGACATCTAACGGACAAGGGCAGCGTGGAAGAGATTACAAAGAAATGGGGAAGGGGTGAAAGAGACACACAAAGGGGCTGGTGGGGGAGAAAGAGGCACACAGCGGGGTGTGAGTGGGGAGAAAGACATACAGAGGGACATGAGGGGGGAGAATGACACACAGATGGGCTGGGGATGAAATAGACACACAGAAAGGCCTTGGGGGCGGAATACACAGTGTTGCTGGGGCGTGAAAAAGACACAGAGAGCCTGGGGGTGTGGGGAGACACACAGAGTGGCTGGAGAAGGGGAATAAGAGGCACACAGACAGACTGAGGGGGAGACAGATGGGCTGGGGGTGAAAGATACACACACAGAGGAGTTGGGAAGAGTAAAAGACACAAAGGGGATGGGGGGGAGTAAGACACAAAATGCAGGAGGATGTAAAAGTCATACAAAGAGGGGGGATAAGAGATGCAAGGGGAGTTGTAAGAGATACCCAAAGGAAGTGCAAAACACACAATGGGGACAAATAGGGGATAAGATAAGACACTAAAGGGGTAAGACATGTAAAAGAGGGGGTACAAAACACAAAAGATTTTTTGGGGGTGAACAAAATGCATTTTTGCCTCTGTACCCAAAAATCCTTGCACTGGCCCTGTACTTTGCCTTCTACCAAGAAGAATACACTGACATTTCTCATAGTTTGTATATGCTGGAAGGTTAGAGAGAATAATTAACACATACAATGGGTTAAGGTACATCCAGTCACATGAGCTCAGAACAGGTACATCTTGTGACATTTAGCCACATGTTACATTTCACAATACCTGCAAGCACTCCTTCCCTGTTTGGCTGCAATAAAGGAAGCAGTCCCGTGTTGTTTTTGTTTTGAAACCTATGCATCAGTGGCGGAACTACCACTTCGCAGGGGTCGCAGCTGACCTGCGGACCCCTGTGACCACGGCCTTGAAGGGGTCCATCTGGTGGCCCATGCAATGAATTTCCAGTGCCGCGGCCCCCTGAGATGACATCAGAGCTAGGAGGAAGTGGGGGTGGTGGGGGGGGGAGGACATGGGAAACGTATGGGAGCGGGCCCAGGGCAATTTATGCACCGGGGCCCCATGGTTTCTAGTTACGCCTCTGCTATGCATGTTACATAAATGTGTTTGCAGACCTCCACACATTTTAAAGGGACACAGTAGATGCTATAACCATGTCATCTCATCGTATTGGCATTTAATTCCTTTGAGTTGCCTCTCCATGCAGTGCTAAATGATTTTTGAGCAGTTTAACACTAAATAACGGTCCCTGGTGACCCACAGACCTGTCTCTTGCTGGAGCTATGGCAGTACGACATAGATTACACACTTCCACCTAGCAATATCAATTCATACATGCAATGGACACTGGACTGGCTGAAAAAGGTCAGCTGACACTCTCAACCAATCACAGCCACCCATTCCATACCCATCCACTCTGGTCTCCAGAACATGCGCTGTTACAGCTGGAGAGCAATCTATACGCACGTATCTGTTCTACACTTGTGGATGCATTCGGGAAGTATACAGACGAAAGGGACACTTTAAATTCTCCCTCACCACAAGGATATTCCCCATCGAGCAGGAGTGCACTCCAACTATCGGCTACAGGCTAGACTGGAAGTAGCGCTAACCCACACCTCCAATCTTGTTTTAATTGGGAACCAGATTTGACAATTTAAAACTGAATTAGCTTTTGTTGATGTCATTAGCCTAGGTTTTCACACTCTTTTCCCAAACTATACTGTGAATATTTGAGTGATATATTCAATATGTACAAGAACAATACAATAATATATGTTAAGTTAAAACAGATTGTATTTGTTGATTAGTTTAACTTAGATGAAGACACGTTTATACATAAATGCAGTAATTTTTAAAGGGTTCACATACTTTTTCTTGGTACCCTATATGCTTGTCTTGTTTTACCCATTGTAGAGTGCGCATAAATTAGTGTTTCATGAATACGTATAATTGTACTAGAAAAAGGAAACTCAAAAGGCTGGAAAGTGGGAGGGGAGGAAAAGACACTCCCGTATCCCAATGCTGAGCCTCCAGAGTATAGAGGTCACCTGGACTGGTAAAAGGGGGTAACCCTGGAAATTGTAGAAAAAAGGAAGAAAAAAAACACCCAAAAAGGGATGTCTTATATAAAGACCGCCCAGAGGGTAAATACCCAGTCCAATCTCAACAGTAGTGTAGTTGCCAAAAAAAAAGTTATAAAAAAGTATAATTGTACTACCCTGGAGTTGTAAGTGAATGATAGACTTACAGGGTTAATTACTAGAGTGAGAATGTAAGGTGAATTCAAAGAAAATTTTAAATATAAGGCCAAAGTAGCCAAACTGGAAAAATCCTCTAAGTCAACTATGCTTTCAATTCTGCTACTCTGGCCTTAATTCTGAAATTCTCTTGGAATTCTAACTTTAGAGAATAACCCTGTATTTAACCCCTTAAGGAGCAAACTTCTGGAATAAAAGGGAATCATGACATGTCACACATGTCATGTGTCCTTGAGGGGTTAATGTTCGAGTAATGTAAGATGATAAAAAGAACTCTGTTCATACTCATATATTGTACAGTCAACTTCATCTGTGTCAAAAGTAAACTGAGACCACAGGCTCCTATACTATGTGACATGATTGTCCCAAATCCGAGGAATTTTAAAGATTTCTAAAAATAACAGAGCAATCTCCCAGACAGAGGAAGTAGAATTTGGGGTCGCAACTATTCAAATATACTTTTAATTCTATTCTTTTATAAGTTTGTGTTTTTTAGTATATCACAGAAAGGGAAAATATTATTATTTCATGTTCTGAATTGATATTTGATATTTCCAGTAAATATAACTTGTGTTTCCCTTTTGTTAGATGACTTTGTATATTATTACAGGAAATAAAACATAAAATGTGAAATACAGTTCTGCACATCACAGCACAAAAGCAGAACATCCTGAGTGAAAGACACACAATAAGCAATATGACAGATATATGCTTTTCTAGAACACCAAACACCAGTTACACTGCTATTGTTTTTAAGTTATGTTACATTCCATTTCAGTTGGTGTGTTACTCACTGGAATATATAGTGGGTGACAAAAACAAACAAAACAAAAAACTATGACCATTTACGGTTAATAAAATAATTTCAGGGCTGGATTTATATCTCAAGATAGTGATCATATGAAGCCATTTATTATAACATAGTTGTTTGGTTCCTTTTTAAATCATAATTTTAACAGAAATCACCTAAATGGCCCCGATCAAGAATTTGTATACCTGTGAATGTTTGGCCTTGTTACAGACATACAAGGTGACACACACAGGTTAAAATGTCAATTAAAGGTTATTTTCCACACCTATTAAATTGCAATTAGTCCCTGTGTATACATAGTAAATGAGTTTGTTAGCTCTCACATGGATGCACTGAGTAGGCTAGATACTGAGACATGAGTAGCAGAAAAGGACTGTCAAAAAACCTGCGTAACAAGGAAATGGAACTTTATAAAGATGGAAAAGGAAAACGCCAGTTAGTACTGTTCAATCACTTATTAAAAAGTGGATACCAAGCCAAGGTCAGGTAGAGCTAGAAAGATTTCAGCCACAACTGCCAGAAGAATTGTTCGGGATACAAAGAAAAACCCACAGGTAACTTCAGGAGAAATACAAGCTGTTCTGGAAATGGATGGTGTGGTTGCACAATGTGACGATACTTGAACAAAAGTTAGCTGCATTGTTGAGTTACCAGAAAGAAGCATTTACTGCTCCAATACCACACAAAAAAATCCTGGGGGGGGGTAGGGCCTGATCTGCAAGTTGGCCAGACATGCTTACAGGACGCTCCTGCCACCACAAACTTTAAATCGACTAAACCTACACAAAAAACTGTCAGAAGGATCAGAATTTTGCTTGACAAGCACCTTAAACGACAGGGATATTGCGGATCCCAAATTACCAGCTCCTGAAAGCGTGCTTTACCTTCTGGCCTTGCGGCCTACCAGGACTGAGGGCCCGACGGCTGGGAGAGGCAGCCAATCTCCTGCTGGGGACTACGCATCCTGAAGAACAACCACAGACACCCCGTTGCCCCTCCCCGGGACCGGTGGGGGATATCCCGGTCCCCACTTACCAAAATAGCCTGCAATCAGCGGAGTCTCAGACCGCATGGTTTATTAAAGATGACCACCATGCGGAAGGCTTTCACGGCAACAAGCAAATCTAGATAGCCTGGACTGGGCACAGGGCTTCGAAGCCAGTTTTGAAAAGTTATGCCGAGATTTTTGGACCCGCATAGCCACCAGATCCAACACTCCTATCCCACCTGGCCAACTCCAGTGCAGTAAACAGAGATCAGCTACAGCAGCACCGCTCCACCCGTATCTGCAGCACAGCAAAGCTATGACAAAACCCAAGAATCCTGACATTGTGCCAAAGGTGGGTAAGTGGAAGCAAGTGCCTCAAACACTGCCAAGTCGCCAAAAGCCCGGTCATCCCGTGCGGCACAACCTACATAAACCTCAGCCCATAAAGAGAGGCCCTCAAGCACACAACCACACAGAGCTCCTACCCAGCGTATTGTTAAGGCACAAGCAAGGGAAAGACCTGTGAGGGGCCCACCGACAAAACAACGACTTCAACAACCCACCTCAATACCTTGCAGTTGTTCCTCTGTGGGACACACTAGCGGCGGCAGAGTCCTGGCCCACAGGCCGCACGGTGGCATGACACACACTAAGCTACACCGACCACGAGCACCGAGGGATACTGGTCCTGTGGATGGTTTTTGTCCTGCTGGCGTGACACAGGAGCACATCTCATGGGACTGGTGGTGCCCAAGCATGTGGAACAGTGGACTCATGCCTTCCAAGGTTGGCGGCCTGCCACAGTTAGGCATTGGTTAAACAGCCTTATGCAGGCCCCTTAGCGACAAGCTTTAGTTTAAGGGCTTGAGACAACTTGATCTGCTGCTCTACCATAGGCAATAGCTCTACTAACCTAGATTCTCCCTCTGTTCGAATTTGTTATGGGGGCGCAGCCCAGTGGTTATTTTATTTTAGTTTACTTACATGTTACTTACACGTTTTCAAACAGTATAATGCTTTACATTAATGCGTATTACTTTACTCAGCATCCATGTGAGTAAACCCATGGCGTCCAAGCAAAGTTAATGCTCTCGTATGTTTACCATATTATGCCTATCGTGCTTGACTGTCTGCAGGACCTTATACTAAAAATTCTACTTCAGCACCCTCGGGCATTAATGGCACCATGTTCTGATGCCTTTAGTATTGATGTTGATGCTTTAATAACATAGCTAACTAAGCCTGTTTACAATATAAACTCACTAGTAATGTTGATGCTTTAACGACATAACTGATTAAGCCTGCTTACATTATAACCTCACTCTTAATGTTGATGCTTAATGATATAACTAACCTAGCCTGCTATTATAATACTGTGCTTGTTACTCATATGTCCCGCATGTTAAGCGAGAAGAAACGTCTGAGGAGTGCTTTTGGGGCACTTCAGGCCTGCTTGTACCATTTCTATGCACTGCAAAAATAAAAATGTGTATATAAAAAAAAAAATCCTGGGGATATTATGCCCAACACCACCATGACATACCTCACAGCTTCTTGCACACTGTAATTTGAAGTGACGAGACCAAAATAGAGCTTTATGGTCACAACCATAAGCGTTATGTTTGGAGAGGGGTTAACAAAGCCTATAGGGAAGGGAGGCATGGTGGTGGGTCACTGATGTTTTGGGTATGTGTGAGCTCTAAAGGCACAGGGAATCTTGGCAGACAATTTGCATTCTTCTGCACTAAGAGTACGCATAGGATGCTCTTGGACCAGCATGACAATAACCCTAAACACAAGGCCAAGTTGACCCTCCAGTGGTTACAGCAGAAAAAGGTGAAAATTCGGGAGTGGCCATCACAATCTCCTGATCTCTACTCTAGGGAGATCTCAAACGTGTCGTTCATGGAAGATGACCAAAGACTTTGCATGACCTGAAAGCATTTTGCCAAAACGAATAGGCAACTATCCCACCTGCAAGAATTAGGGGGCTCATAGACAAATATTACAAAAGACTGCATGCTATCATTGATGCTAAAGGGAGCATTACACAGTATTAAGAACTAAGGGCATGCAGACTTCTGAACAGGGGTCATTTAATGGTTTTCTTTGTTACCATATTTTATGATTGTGCCATTCTGGTATAACCTACAGCTGAATATGAATGTGTTTTTCCTGCTCACCCATGTTTTCATTAAAATTAAGGGTATGCAAACATTTTCTAAATAAATATATATAAATAACTAAAATACACACAATAGTAATAGTATAGTGCTTCATATAAAATAAACTTTTCAACAAACATAAATATGTTTTTCTAAAGTGCTAGTGCAAAAACAAAAATACTTTATAGACTGTAAGCTCCTTTGAGCAGGGCCCTCATCAACCTATCCTTCCTGTAAGTTTTCTTGTAATTGTCCTATTTATAGTTAAATTCCCCCTCGTATAATATTGTAAAGCGCTATGGAATCTGTTGGCTCTATATAAATGGT